TCATAACAAATCACTAGATTGTGTTTGTTTGGGCTCTCCTCTAAGTCACCTGTGTTTCCCAGTTTGTTAACCACCTGTGTTTCCCAGTTCTATTTATATCTCTTTTTTTTTTTTTTTAAAGATTTTATTTGTTTGTCAGAGAGAGACACAGCGAGAGAGGGAACACAAGCAGGGGGAGTGTGATAGGGAGAAGCAGGCTTCCCACGGAGCAGGGAGCCAATGCGGTGCTCAATCCCAGGACCCTGGGATCATGACCTGAGCCGAAGGCAGACACTTAACGACTGAGCCACCCAGGCGCCCCTATCATCCTCAAACATGCTTTTAGACTACCTGTTAATCTAAAGGTATTGGTACCACATATTTACTAATACATATTTTTATTTTAAAATTAGCCCATTTTAGGGACGCCTTGGTGGCTCAGTTGGTTAAGCGTCTGCCTTCAGCTCAGGTTATGATCCCAGGGTCCTGGGATTGAGCCCCGCGTCAGGCTCCCTGCTCAGCGGGAGGCCTGCTTCTCCCTCTCCCTCTGCCTGCTGCTCCCCCTGCTTGTGCTCTCTCTCTCTCTCTGACAAATAAATACATAAAATCTTAAAATAAAATAAAATTAGCCCATTTTAAACTTTACATAACTATATATGATAACAATGACAGAAGGTAGGATTACATTAATTCTAAGGCTCTTCAAAAAAAATTTAACTGGTTTTAAACAAACTAGTGTGTGACAATGGTCATTGTTACAGAGTTTTTCTTGGCTATAAAGCTGTTTAGAGGAAAACAAAAGCAATCAGGTACAAATAATCATTCTGGATAGAAAAAAATGGAGTTAGTATTATTTTTCAAAATACTAACAGTGTTTCTGCATAATGATCCACAGCCAAGGCCTAGAAAAATCTCTACGAAACCCTTCCTTTTCTCTTAAATTTTAAAGGGCATCTTTGTTGCCAAAAGCAGGGAGGTCCCTAGTGCGGATAATGGGGAACTGAAATACTTATTAGTACTTATTTTACAAATACAGGTTTCTGCTGTTCTTTATTTAATCTGTCTTCCAGATTATACATACGAACAACACACAAACAACTCAATTTTCTCTCTCTTTAACATCAGATACATATTTTGAGAGACAGGTGACTAATCATCCTATTACCCAAGGTTAAAACTGGTTTCTAATCTGTCCAGATATCCATGGTAAATAAATCCATGTACAAAAGGGCTGGCAAGACCTATACATTCTTCCCTTTCTCTCCTGTGGGATCTAGTTAAGAAAGGGGTTAAAACACAAGTGGATAATTTTTAAGCTGCTGAGCAAGATCTCTCAAGATTTAATGCTGGGAGTCAGTTTGGCAATGTCTACTAAATTTTTTTAACAAAATTTTTGAATGCACATATTCTTTGGCTAAGTAACTCCACTGAAGGGATTTATCTGACTGATATACTCATCTATGAGCAAAGCACCTACCATGCAAGGATATTCGCTGTAGCAAAAAATGGAAAACAAATATTCATCACTAACAATTCTTATATATATGTACAATGACAATATATCTATAAAATGGAAGGCCATGCAGCTGTTAGAAAGAATAGGGTAAATTCATAAATATTGGTATAGAACTACCTTTAAGATAAACTTGTAGGTGAAAAAAGTATCAGCAATAACAGTATGCATAGTACACTATCACTAAAAGGAAAAATATGTATGTACACATATACAAACACACATACATATTATAGAATAGCTCTAGAAAAATACATTTTAAAATGATAAAACATTCTTGCTCTAGAAAGGAAAAGTAGGATTCAGAGGAGAGAGAATAACTTTTTACCTATACTATTTGTAGTGTTTAAATTCTTTTAAATGTGCTTATTGCTTTAAAACAAAAAAAATCTATAAAAAAATTTTTCACCAGAAAAGCATTATACATACATCTTTATTGGCCAAAACAATATCCAGTGTTGACTTGGCCACCATGGGAGAATGTCTGCCATTATGTGGATTTATATAATTGTAGAGATCTTCCATCACATCTAAAAAAATTTTTAAATAAATATATGTCAAAATCACTTAACAACAAATTCAATCCTCCGGTAATAGTCTAAAACCCTTTTTTCATGCCAACCTACCTCACTGCCTAGCACAGAAAGTGCTCAATAACCATATACTTGTTGAATAAATACATAATAATGCCTCAGTTAAGGAAAAATCTTCCAGAGTTAGAGTAAACATAGGCTCTCGTAATTTGAAAGAGATCCCCTGGTGATTCTGATGACCAAACCATTGAGAATTATTGGTTGAAAATAAAGAAAAACAGAAATTATTATCTCCTCTCAAATGGTTTTTTATCCCAGTAGAATAGAAACTCAACTATAAATTTATAATCTATCATCCCAAGCGTTTCATTTCTATAAATGCAGATAATAAGCCCTGTCTTTTTGCTCTTCTTCAAGACATCATAACAGAGTGTGACCCTCTGCATTTACATATAAAACTTATATATGCACACATAATGCCAGCATTTTGATTAGGATTGTCTTGAATCTATAGATCAATTTTGGGATAACTAATATAACTACAATAAATCTAATGAAGAGGGTGATATAATGTTTGAGCTCCACATAAAGATCTGGAATTGACAGCCAAAAGATTTCTAATCTCAGTCTACCAGTTGACTTTTCATATATCACTTGTTACATACGGAACAAATTATTTAACCTTCCTTTGCTCACATTCCCTGAGCTATAAAATGGGAGTGATGTAATGAAGTGCTTGCTAATGGTGACATAGGACATTTTGTTCAACCCAGAACATGCCAATAAATATTACTCGTTTTTCCAACCACATCACCATCAACCACCTAAAGACAGGCTTTTAAAAAAGGCGGGGGGGCGTGGGGCGCTGGGTGGCTCAGGTGGTTAAGCATCTGCCTTCGGCTCAGGTCATGATCCCAGAGTCCTGGAATGTAACCCCGCATGGGGCTCCCTGCTCAGAGAGGAGCCTGCTTCTCTTCCTCTCCCCTCTGCCTGCCGGCCCCCCTGCTTGTGCGTGCTCTCTCTCTCTCTCTCTCTCTGTGTCAAATAAATAAGTAAAACTTTAAAGAGACAGAAAAGGGTGAAGAAAAGGATCCACTGACTCTCTCATGCAGCAGGTCAGCAGCATGGAGAACCAGGAAGTTCCAATCCCCTCTATGCCACTAACTCGCACACCTTTAAAATAAGACGTAACTTTTCTTTTGACATTTAAGGTTTCATTTGAGTAGTCTTACACATTTTCTGAGAATTCTAACTTTTTCCTCCAGACTCACCACTGAACACTTTCTTTGTTTCTTTGTGCAAGTTGGAGACGGCAATCCTTGCTGCCAGGATGGCATAGTCAGGATGCTTAGTTGTCAAGGTCGCAGCTGTCTCAGCAGCCAAAGTATCTAGTTCCACAGTGGTGACCCCACTGTATAAGCCTTGGATTACTTTCATGGTGATCTGAGCCTATTAAAACAAAACCAAGAACTACTTGAGCTTCCCCAAGAACCACTAGCCTCCTTAAAAGAGCAATGAAGAAAACAATCAAATTTATTATCAAAAAAAAAAAACCAGACAACTTCCTTTTCTGAAAAATTATCTTTCAGAATGTTGGACTATGGGAAACTTAGTAATGAGAACTCATAAACCAACAGAACCACCAGAAACTGCATACTACATATGCAATGAAGAGGGGTCACCGAACAAACAAACAAAAAACCCAAGTATAGCTTTTATAAAGAGTAATGGTCTCACAGGAAAATAGCTGAAAACAAACCAGTGATTTTATAAGTATTTCCTCATCTTTCATTCAAATTCTCCCTCTGTGGTCAGGGTTTGAGCTACATACTTACTCATTTTCCCCAGTCCTACCTAAGGACAAGTATCAGAAAGCAAATGAATCAAACTTTAATCATTCCAATTAAAGGAGATGAAGGTGTAAATCATTCAGTGACTACTCTTCCCTTAGCACTTCACAAATTACAAAGTAGCTCGATTTTCATCATCTCTGACATTTCACAGTCACCATGTGAGATGGGTTTTATTACTATCACCACTTTATGTGAGAAACTGAGGTTCAGGATACTGGGACTTGCCCACGGTTACTACGACTCCTGCTCCACGGGATCCCATGCGACCTCACTGCATTTCGCTGTTTGCAAGACCATTTTGTAAGAGGTTCTCCTTTTTAAAACACACAATGCACAAGTTATTACCATACATTTTTAAGAAAAACAAATTCTTGAGTGTTTACTGAATCTTTAAGACACCTTAATTCAATAGAAAATCAATGCACTTCCCAGGTAACCAAAGCGTGTCCCCCTTAAAAAAAGTGTGTGTGTGTGTGTGTGTGTGTATTACTAGTTTATAATCTCTTCTACTTACATTATACCTAAGCCCAAGCTCCTGATCACTTTCTTCTCAGATCCAAGAGATAAGTTATGTTCAGTAAAAGAGTAGTGAAATCTTCAGAATAGTTTCTGGTGCTACATGGCAAGTAATCAGAACTCAGGATAAAATAACAAGTCACTTGTATAAGTCACTCCCCTTCTCCTTGAACCTTTCTTATCTCTAAAACAGGAAGATGAAATAGGATGATCTCTCAGATTCATTCCAATTCTAACATTCTATTATTCTAATTATTGTTTAAAATTCTAAATATAAAAATAAATATAAAATATAAATATATTTTATTTATATTCCTAAATATAAAAGGGAATTTATAATAAGCATATTTTAAAGTTGTTTAAAATTATTTTCTTTTGAACATTTTGGTCAATTCAATATTTATCAAGTGTCTAATTACATACATGCCAAGCACGGCAGATATCACAAGGTTAAGACACAGCCCACACTTGATTCTAGGGAAGGACAGAGACATATAATTAATTTCCATATCACGTGATTAATGCTAGGAGGCCAGCACAAGTGCCACAGCAGTACAGATAAAATACCCAAATAAGGCTGGGGCAATATGAATGGGTTTGGAAAAAGGGTTCTTAGAGACTCCATTTCGAAGATCATTTTGGAAACTATGTGTAAGATGCATCTATACAGGACAAGATTAAAGGAAGACACTTTAGAGGCCACTAGAGACAGCAGTCCAGATTAGAGACGATGAGGGTCTAGAGTAGGGAAGTTATAAAAAATAATGAGAAAAACAGAACAACTTGCTTATGAAGCATTCTCCTTAATTTAAATGTTGACCATGAAATCTACTTTATATTACTTAAATGTATTCTTTCTACATAGATAACAAAAAAGCAAATTTCAAACTAGTTCCTATACAAATGACCACAACTCCAAAACAAGCTTTTCTACAGGCTTTTCCACTTACGAATAAAACAATTCACCCAAGGAAGTCTCTAATATGAAATGTTAATGTAAGTGTTCCTCTTTGTTCACTCTGATAATTCTCTGAAAAGAACTCACAGGACCAAAAGTTAGAAAATAAGTTTCGTTTTGTTTTGTTTTAGAAAGTAAGTTTTCAGCAATGAATTCACATTTTATATCCAAGGCCATAACCAAAATACCAAACCAAAATATTTATCAAGTGAATGATAAGAGATAAGGGACTAGTAAAAGGAATCACATGAAGCAAGGTTTACATATAAACCTTATTTACTTACAGGATCAACAAAATCCATATTAAGTCCATAACATAGCTTCTGGATTCGAGACGTAATTTTGTCAAACATAACGCGCTCTTGGCGACCATCTGAAGAATCAAACCATGTAATTCATGTTAGCACTCATTAAGATAGCAACGTCAAAGAATCAAAGGTAATCAACCCATGAACTTTTAAAATTGACCAACATGAGATGCTATTTCACAGATAAAAGATTCAGACCTCAATAGAGTCATCAAGAAATTATTTTTGTATCTTCAAAGAGTAGGGATTCTATACACAACATCTTCCCTTCTTCCCTTACAAATATATAAATCAGTTGGATTCTTGCAATAACTTCCTAAATGATGTTTCTCCCCTTGTCCCACATGGCAGCCAGAATTAGTCTTTAAAACTTAAGTCAAAATCATGTCACTATCCCCTTCAAAAAGCCTTAATAGCAGTTTAACATCTCCTTCAGAATAGAAGTCAAGGGCGCCTGGGTGGCTCAGTTGGTTAAGCGACTGCCTTCAGCTCAGGTCATGATCCCAGGGTCCTGGGATCGAGTCCCGCATTGGGCTCCCTGCTCTGCGGGGAGCCTGCTTCTCCCTCTCCCACTCCCCCTGCTTGTGTTCCCTCTCTC